GCTGGAGGAGCCCACGGCGCTGGAGGAGCCCACGGCACTACAGGACCTCACGGCGCTAGAGGAGCCCACATGGTGGGCTTGGAAGAGAGGGTGGGAAAGGCATGGGGAAGAGTGAGCTGAGACAGGCGAGGGGAGATGTCTGGGAGGGGTGCTGGCTCTCCATGTAATCCTACTACGCACCTGCCACAGGCTCAGCCAGGTGGCACCTGGACCCAAGTGTGTGGATCAGAGACTAGGCCAGGTGTGCCTGAGCCAGAGACGGCGCTGGGGTGGGGACACCACCTGTAACCCCGGCTCGGCAGGCACCTGGGCCATGGGATGAGGTTCAGAACCAAAGGCGGAGCTCTTCTTCCCTGTGTGACCAGAGGCATAAGGTTAATTGAAGAGTTTGCGAAGCTGATTCTGTAGCAGGTCGTATGCTCAGAACGTTTCCAAGTGTGTGCATCTGACAACCAAATGACCAAGAGTGGCCTTGCTCCGGTTCTGCAGCAGCCCAGCTGCTCTGGGGCAGGCACACGTTCTGACCACCTCACTCCTCATGCGGCGGCCCGGCCCCTCCCTCCCACCTTCCCCCACGGTCCCACACATGCACAGGTAAAGAAAGTCCTTCAGCCAGAAAGTGACTTGGGCCATGTAGACAAGGGTCCCCACTGCTCACAGGGGCTGGGGGGTGACCCCCCACGCTGGCCAAGGGGCTGCCTGGAAAAGTGGGGGTGGGGTGGGGAAGGGGAGCTCCTGCTGCCTCAGAGCTGGGCTTTCTCCTGATCCATCCCAACCTCATCCAAAATGCACTTGATGAGCTAGCCAATCTGTTTTTTTTCCTCAAAGAGTGTATTTTAAAGGTTTTATTTCAGCAGCTCTGCAACCATTTACACAGCTGGAAACAGAGTTTCAGACGGGGTAACCTCCCAATAAGCCTCTGTACACCGGAAACATCCCAGGTGGAGCGCACGCTTCCTACACTGACCCATGACCGACACCGCGTGGCCTTCACTGCCTTAACCTGCCAGACACGCCAGCCCACGGTCTGGCAAAAGCCCCTGCGCACAGAGTCCCTTGGAGCGTCCAGCCCCCTCCTGATCATGTGGCCCCCCGGGGGCTGTGGTCACCGCCGCTCGTCACAGGAGAGTACTGACCGCATGCAGCCAGCCAGGAACTGTCCAAACTCAAAGTACAGTTTCTACCGATCCCGTCCTGCCCGTGCACCACTGAAATCAGATTCCTAAATCAACCGGAGTATGTCCGACACTGCCTGCAGGCTTGTTCTCCTTCAATACCAGGGACCCTGGCACTGAAGCTGAGAATGCCGTGATTGCTGCTCCTGTCCAGCGACTGCTGATAAACCTAGCCACAAAACCACGGCAAATGCCCTTCTCTAGAGTGGCCCCCAGGATCAGCTCTCCTGTAGAACCAACAGGCAGTGCGGTCCCAGGCCAGGAAGCACGAGACATTGGCTCTGAGCCAGCACAGCCAGGGGTCATCAGGAAGTGCTATGGGCCAAACTCATCCAGCCCCTTACTCTCCTCGCTCCTGAGAACAAAATGTGTCTCCCCATCCCTCCTAGGGGCCCTGGAGGGCAGCCCCCCATTCCCAGTTGGCCCTTCTGGGAGACAGGAGCCTTGGCTCCATGCAGGTGCGCCATGCCAAGGATCACCCTGGCGGTGCACAAGCTCACACAACCCACCCCACCCACACGGCCCCCACCCTGTCCACCATGGGTGGGGTTGGGTTGGGGGTGTGGGGTTGGATGGATATTGGGGCTGGGGTGGGAGATGAGGTTGGCAGTGGGGTAGGGGTTGGGGTGGATATTGGGGTTGGGATAGGGTTGGAGGTTGGGGCTGGGTTGGGGGTGTTGGGTTTGGGATGGGGGTTGGGTGGATATTGGGGTTCAGGTGGGGGAGGTGGGGCTGGCAGCAGGGTAGAGTTGGGTGGATTTGGGGTTGGCATGGATATTGAGGTTGGGTTGGGGTCGTTGGATTTGGGGTGGGGGTTGGGTGGGTATTGGGGTTGAGGTGGGCGAGGTGGGAGGTGGGGTTGGCAGTGGGGTAGAGTTGGGTGGATCTGGGGTTGGCATGGATATTGAGGTTGGGTTGGGGGTGTTGGGTTTGGGGTGGGGGTTGGGTGGGTATTGGGGTTGGGTGGATTTAGGGTTGGGGTTGAGGTGGGGCTTGGGGTGGGGGTTGGGATGGGTGTGGGGGTGTGAATGGGCTTCGTGATGCTTTACCAAGTCCCAGTCTATGCTGCGGAAGAACGCATGGGACTTAATGTCAGAGAATCCAGTCTGTGGCCGGCAGCCGAGCCTCTCTTTGGGATCCTGGAGGTTAGAGTTCAAACAAGGACAAGTCAGCCCTGCCCTGGAAGCCCCAGGACCCGCTCCCCTCGGTGCCGCTCCCAGCGCTGACAAGCCCTCCCCCATGCTCTGACCCACCCGGCGGAAATCAGATGTTTCCTCTACTGAACATTACTTCCCCTGACATGGTCAGCTTTGTTCCGTTTTCCTTGGGCATCTGCTCTCGTTTTATATTGTTAGGTGTGAATAAAAACAGGCAATTCACAGAACACAGAGCTTAAATACCCAAGCAGAAAATCAACCCACATGCACGAAATGCAGCAGCTGATGTGAAAAAACGGCCAACAGCCGTGACTGGGCTGCCCCCAACACAGAGGCACAAACAAGAGACCTTGTCAGCGTGGCCAGAAACGTACCTTATTTAAAAATCCTTTTAAAACGTGGGAGGCTTTGACAGAGAGGAACCGGGGGATCCGGATGGGCTTCTCCAGGATCACTGCAAGGACGGAGCCTGGTGAGGACTCTCCTGTGTCATGTGCGGTTTGCCCAGCGCTGCCCAGACTCCGCTTCTGAGCAGGAGCTGTGGGAGCTCAGGCTTGGGGCCCCAGGACCCCTTCCCTTCCTACGGACCAGCAACATCTAGAACCCGGAGTCCCGCCGAGTCCTCCCTGGGCTTCCTGGTTACATGCGGTGAGATGTGTAGGGTCTGGCGTGAACCAGCGGCTCCCCTCCCCAACCCCGAGATAGCAAGTACGTGGGTGTCTCTGCACGCTGGCCACCAGAGGGCACTGCTGAAACATCCGCGGTCCCAGACCTCACATCCCCGGCACTGAATTCTGGACGGGGAGCTGGTCCAGGGCCTCCAGGTGGGAAGGAGCCCATGATGGTGGCTGTGGGTTTTGGGGTGGAGGCTGTGCTGCTGACCAGGACAGGGGAGAGTGTGAGCTGAATCGAGACAGGTTCTCCTTCCTGCTGACCCAGAGCGAGGGCAGTGCGGTCACCCCTCCCCACGGCCACGCTCCCATGCGCACAGCCCGGTGGGCGGCATGTAACAGGGTCCGGCCCGGAGAACGGTCCCCGGTGCGCTGTGTGACACTGTGACTCCCAGCCCAGGACTCCACCACCTGCGCCTTTGAAACGGAAGGAAGACAGCCGTGCAGCGAGGGTGAGCACAGGCGGGCACGAACCTTGGAAAAGGTAGTCCTCTGTGTTCATGTCCGGGTTGTCGGTGATGATGTCGAACGGGGAGCGCCCAGCCATCATCTCGAACATGAGGACGCCCAGCGCCCACCAGTCCACGCTGAACCCTGGGGAGAGCACGCGGCATCACCCGACAGGCGCCACGCCGGCCGGTGGCAGGGTGAGCCCGGCTGGGGTTGGTTTTCATGCCCAGTCAACATGAGTGTGAACCAGGTTTGAGTGGGGAGCACACAGGCGCCTGTGACTTCCGCTTCCCAGAAGAACCAGCAGCTCAGCCCGGCAGTGCGGCCTCCCCGCCACCGTCCCGGGCACCTGATCTTCCTCCCCGTCCCTGACACTGTGGAGGTCTCCCAGGCTGTCTCTGGGCTGTGGGTCCTGCTGGGGTGCCTGTGACCACATAGCTGGTGAGGCCCTGGTGGAATCTGCGGGCGGCCCTCCTCTCATGTCTGCGTTTACAGAACTAAGCTTGAAGGAGCCCTTCTCTACAGTAACGGAAATCCTCTTCTGTGTCTTCTTCCACAGTTGTTTTGCTTTTTAGAGATGTTCCAGCAGGCTGCTGGGAATGTGCTTCAGTGAATGAGGGTAGGAGACCCCGACCCGTTGTGCCCAAGGACGGCCGCTCCCCTGGGTCCCCAGAAGTCCACCTGCTCCCTGCTGAGGTGAGACACTGCCACCATCCCACACCGGATCTCTGTCCTGAGCTGGGTTCTAGGCTCCGCTCCAGGCCTCCAGTCTGCCGTCTGTCCTTCTCTGGCTACTGAGACTTCCACTGCAGCAGCTGGGGAGCCCAGCTACCCTGGGGAGAGTCACCTACCCACCCTGCCTATACCACCCGCCGTGTGATAGCAAAAGAATGTGTAAAGATGTGTGAAGGCGCGCTCATGACACGCCTCACTGAAAACTCCAGGATGCAAAAGCGGATGGGGTGTGTACAAACAGAGCACACGTGTGCACACACAGACACAAAACATACATGAACACGCAGCAAAACACACCGGCACACATACACAGGACTGCACATGCGTGCCCACCATGTCCCTGTTTCACACCCAGGGAGGGGAGAAGGGCAGAAACACTCAGCGTGCATGGCACCCTCCGCTGTAGAGGCTGTGGGGTCCTGTCCACACGCTCCTGCACCCACCTCCCCCCACGCACCCCAGACACCTGCTTCTCCCCCAGCCAGCCACGCCGCAGCACAGGGGCTCAGGCACCACACCGGGGCTCAGGCACAGCACAGGGGCTCAGGTCCTGCCCCGGCCTGGCTTTGCTTTCTGCGTCTTTCCCTTCCCTGTTTCCCTAAGGCTCCTTGGTAGGAGGAATCCCGTGACCTCCCCCAGGGGCTACTCAAGTGGACACGGGAGGTTTTCAAGGATTCAAGTAGGGGCTGAGGCCAGATGACGACTTCCGGCTGGGAAAAAGATGCGTCTGTGGATTCTGGGTGCAGGATGGTCAAGGGAAGCTCTCCCTGGCTGCCGGGCCAGCCCGAGGCCGCCTCGCCCCACGGGCTCTGAGAGGGGGCGGGCCAGCGGTACTCACCATACTCCTCTCCCCGCAGGATTTCGGGGGCGATGTAGTTTGGGGTTCCACAGAAAGTGCTCGTCGTGTCTCCAGGGCCCAGGCCTTCCTGTGGGGGGCAGAGTTATTGGGAGGTGGTTCCCGCAGACCTGACCCCGTGGGCAGGTGCCCCAAGGCACGCACCTTGCACATGCCATAGTCCGTGAGCTTGATGTGCCCGTCCGCATCCAGGAGGACGTTGTCCAGCTTCAGGTCCCGATAGATGATCCCCCTCTCGTGCAGGAAGTTGAGGGCAATGCAGATCTCGGCCGCGTAGAACCTGGGGGCGGGGACGCCATCATGCGGGCAGTGCCTGTACCATGCCAACAGCGCCAGCTCCCGCCTGCCCCACCACGGGCCTGGCATCCTCTCAGTGACCAGGCCCAGCATTTCAAAGTGCAGTGCACGGGGCTAGGAAGGGAAATGCCAACGAAAGCTCCAGGACACCACCCCACGTGCCTGCAGGTGGCCTGCTGTCCAAGACACAGAGCGACGTGGTGGCTTCCACATAGGGAGGAGTGGGGAAATCACAGTTTATTAAATAGTAACATTAAATGATTCCACGTTTATTTATTTATTTTTTTTGAGATGGAGTCTCGCTCTGTCACCCAGGCTGGAGTGCAGTGGCATGATCTCGGCTCACTGCAACCTCCACCTCCCGGGTTCAAGCGATTCTCCTGCCTCAGCCTCCTGAGTAGCTGGAATTACAGGCACCTGCCACCACACCCATCTAATTTTTGTATTTTTAGTAGAGACAAGGTTTCACCATGTTGGCCAGGTTGATCTTGAACTCCTGACCTCAAGCGACCCTTCCACCGCAGCCTCTCAACAGTGCTGGGATTACAGGCGTGAGCCACTGCGCCCAGCCTAAGAACGGAATTATTACATGGTTAGCAACTCAATTTCTGGGTGTGTACCGAGAAGAACCGGATGCAGTTTAAGAGATTACACCCGTTTTCACAGCCGCACTGTTCACCGTGGCCAACATGGACACCACTCAAATGCCCCCCAGGGATGGATGTATAAGCAAAGTGTGGTCCCTCCATCCAACGGGGCATTATCCAGCCTAAAAAAGGAAGGCGATTCTGAGACAGGCCACAGCATGCATGAGCCCTAAGGATGCCACGCTCCGGGAGATCAAAGGACAAACACTGTGATGCCACTCCTACGAGGTCCCTAGGGTCCCTGAGTCAGAGGGACAGAACATGGGATGCGTCTGTCTGGGGCAAGGACGTAGTGCTGGGGCAGGGGACAGGGAAGGAGTCCTGTTCCTATGAGGTCCCTAGGGTCCCCGAGTCGGAGGGACAGAACATGGGATGCGTCTGTCTGGGGCAAGGACGCAGTGCTGGGGCAGGGGACAGAGAAGGAGTCCTGTTCCTATGAGGTCCCTAGGGTCCCGAGTCAGAGGGACAGAATGTGGGACGTGCCCATCTGGGGTGAGGATGCGGGGACGGGAGGGAGAGTCTGACAGCCAAGCTTCAGCAGGGAAGAGGGGTGCTCTGGAGATGGGGGCCGGCGGCAGCTACATGGCACAAGGTGTGCTCCACGCCACTGAACTCCACGCCCCAAACACTACCTTTTATGTTGTGTGTACCTGCCAGTTTTAACAAGAGCGTCGTGGGAAGTGCGCCGTTCTAATGTGTCACCTACGGTCCGCAGGAGAATCTAATGTGACTCATAAAACTGCATGGAACGTTTTTAAGTAAGGAAATGAGGAAAAGGAGAAACCATGGAAGATAGGAAAGGTTCAAAGAGCTGAAATCAGCCCCTGAACCATCCTGGTGGCCCCATGGCTGTTGGGGGAGGCTCTTCAACTGTCCCAGAGGCCCCTCGGCTGCTGTGGGCCGCCCGAAGACATCAGAGAGGAAAGGGAGGGCAGGAAGGAATGTCTCAGGTCACTCTAGAAAAAGACCATTCTCGTTCTGCTCCTAATGCTGAGTGAACACAAACGGGGCAAAGGGCAGAACCAGGGCAGAGCCATCCTGAAGATAGCACAGTCCCAGGACACCCCCACTTTTCTTGGATGAGGCATAGTGCTGCTTCAGGAGCGGGGCCCGGGACACTGGCTCTGAGGCACCGTTATTCAGGAGACCCTCCCGAATGTTGAGACTCTGGAGCAACTGTGGAATGTGTCACACTGTGGGGAACGTGGCACCTCTGCCATCCTCCCTGGACCTCCCTCCCTTGAGCTCCCCACTGACCCCTGGAGAACGTCCCTGGCCCCCTCTGCGAGCACCCACCCGGCCCCCTCTGGGTACGGCCACCCGGCCCTGTCTGAGACCGCCTACCTGGCGTGCTCCTCGGGGAGCTTCCTCTGCCTCTGCATGTGGAACATCAGGTCCCCGCCGTTGACATACTCAATGACCAGGAACAGCCTGTGGAGAGAGAGGCGCTGGAGGCTGCAGTCACCATGGCAGACGGTGGCCTCCTTAGACAAAAGCCCCACAGAAGCAGCCTCTGTGGGTCCGAACACTTCCGGAGGTTCCATCTTGTAGAGGCCTGGAGTGTGGGGGGCCGGGGACAGCAAAGAGCAGCGGGACCACCCTAGAGGCAGAAAGGGTCTGGCAGGGACGGGCTGCAGGGCGGCTTGCACAGTGAGCAGGTGAGGGAGTCACATGGGGCCTGGACGGCCTCTGCTCTTGGCCACCGTGCCGTGTGGACCTGGGGAGCGAAGTGTGGGTGGGCCCCAGAGTGAAGGAGGTGGCCTGTCACCAGGTAGGAGCAGGGGTTGCTTGGACCAGACCTGGGGGCTGGGGCAGGATCTGCCACAGGCTGGAGTGACTGAGGTAGTTCCCTGCCTGGGGCAGCTCTGCAGGCCCGGGGTGGGGTGGTCTCAACGCCTGGCTTCATCATGTCCGCGAAACTGGGATGCCACTTCCTGCCTGCCTCTCCCTGACCCCAGCTTGTCCCCCCGGGAGGGCTGAGGGGTCCTCCGAGGGGACAAGCTGGGGTCAGGGAGAGGCAGGCAGGAAGTGGCATCCCAGTTTCTCCGACATGATCATAGGATTTTAAGATATCCGTGGATGTCGTCAGGACCATGCAGGCACTCCCGTCTCAGGGACTGAGCCACGTGGTTTCTTTCCCTAATAGGGTCTTTCAGTTTTCAAAATTAAATTCGCAAACAGTCTCCCAGAAACACCCTGTGATGGGCACCGCTCAGGTTTTTGGACCAGCAGCTCCTCTGGCACCTGAATTGTTTATCTGCCTCAGACCAGCTGCTCCTGGCTGCCCCTCGTGGAGCGGGAAGCGGAGAGGGAGGCGTGTGGTGAATCTGCCCGTTTCCCTCGATCCCACACCAGCTGTTACACCTCAAGGCACCTGTCCCTGCTCCTGCCCTCCACGAGCTCCCAGGATTATGCCAGAGAGGACAGAGAGCAGTTTACACAGAGCATATGAACGGCTGCAAATCACCCGCAAAGTTTCTGATTAGAAACAAACTCCTAAACATCAAAAGAGCCCTGGGCACGAGTGAGGAGCTGGAGGCGTCCACCTGGCCAACAGGGCATCCTGAAGAACAAGCCGCACCTGTGGGGAGCAGCTCAAGGCTCCATCCCTCGCCTCTGTCTCCCCTGTCTCCAATGGACGTGCCTGGAAATTCTCTGGTAACCTTGCCCTCGCCCTTGGGGACTTGCCAGTCCACTGCTGCCTGTTTTGTAAATAAAGTTTTATTGGCACAAAGCCATGCTCATGTGCACACCTACTATCTGTGGCTACTTTCGGGCCACCGTGGCAGAGGGAGTCACTAACAGAGACACTGCAGCCTGCAAAGCCGGAAATGCCTACCATTGGGCTCCTAATCCTTGGTATAAAGAAAACGGCAATGACAGGGCAGCCCTCGGTGTGCCAGGAACTGTCCTCAGCGCCTCCGTGGAGGAGCTCGTTCAGTAATGCCAACCCCACAGGAAGGAAGCTCTGTGAGGGCCGCTGACCCCTGGACAACACCCAAGACCTAAGAGTTCGACAAATTCTTTAAGAAAGAATTTATTCAAAACCCTTAGAGTACCAGGTGCGGTGGTTCACACCTGTAATCCCAGCACTCTGGGAGGCTGACGGGGGGACAGATCGCTTGAGGTCAGGAGTTCAAGACCAGCCTGGCCAACATGGTGAAACCCGTCGCTACTAAAGATACAAAATTAGCCGGGGTCGGTGGCGTGTGCCTCTGATCCCAGCTACTCAGGAGGCAGGAGAACTGCCTGAACCCGGGAGGCGGAGGGTGCAGTGAGCTGAGATAGCGTCACCACGCTCCAGCCTGGGTGACAGAGCGAGACTCTGTCTTAAAAAAATAAAAATACGAAAAACACAAAAACCCTTCGGGTGACCTCACTGCAGATTTTTCGCCACCGGGAGTTACATGCCCCAATGGGTGCTGGTCCCTTCCGACCATCCCCTCCAAGAGGGAAGACGTTCACCCAATAGCGCTGCTGCAAGGTGCCCGGAAGGGCCTCCTCCACCGCTGTGGATTCATCAGTTTATCACGGCCCACAGGACAGGGCCATTTCCAGAGAAAATAAAGAAATCATGAATTCTAGAGAATCGTACAATAAAATGCCTCAGAAAGCTGAGAGAATTTGGGGGACATTTAAACACAGAGAGGAGAGGTGGAGGCTGCTTCCTTTTCCTCTCCAGAGAAAAACCCATTGCGGGAACTGCTGGAAGCCATTTCTCTCTGCCGGAGGCCTAGGACCCAGGCAGCATGCTGAGGAAGGAATTTATTTAATTTGCAACTGCTTAAGCCGCAATGACGGGTTTGTGTGTACCGATAAAACCTTAATGCTACTTTTGACATTTCTTCAGGGCAAAAATCCACCCAGACAACCTGGTGTCGATTCACTCTGAAGGCAACTCTGTGTGGCTGGGGCTGAGCGGCTGCTGGGACAAAACGCCCGGCACCCACGGCTGAGCACCCACGGCTGAGCACCCACGGCTGAGCACACACTGAGCCTGTTCCTCTCCTCACAGGCTCGGCTTATGTGGGTGCCCCGCAGGCGCTATCCTGCGTAGAGGCTCTCAGGCAGGAGCTCGAGTCCAGGCCAGCGGGCACGTGTGGCTTCACCCACAGCCTCTTGGCGACATGTGCAGTCCCAACCCCAAGGGACGCTGGGAAGTGTGGCCTGGTGGGGGCTGGGGCTGCCCTCCGTGTCCCGGCAGCCACACTCACCATGCTCATCCCATGTTTGCATTCACCACACTCGAAGGGAGAGGACCGAGCAGAGCCCAGGCAGGAGGCGGGAGGCACCTCAGAGCTGTTTTTTTGAGATGGGACCGCGCTCTGTCGCCCAGGCTGGAATACAATGGCGTGATCATGGCTCACTGCAATCCTCCCACTCCAGCCTCTCGAGGAGCTGGGACCACAGGCCCACACCACCACCGCCTGCCAATTTTTTTTTTTTTTGAGTCGGAGTTTCACTCTTGTTACCCAGGCTGGAATGCAATGGCACGGTCTCGGCTTACCGCAACCTCCGCCTCCTGGGTTCAGGCAATTCTCCTGCCTCAGCCTCCTGAGTAGCTGGGACTACAGGCACGCACCACCATGCCCAGCTAATTTTTTATATTTTTAGTAGAGACGGGGTTTCACCATGTTGACCAGGATGGTCTTGATCTCTTGACCTCATGATCCACCACACCCGGCCTGCCTGCCAATTTTTAAATGTTCTGTAGAGATGGGGTCTCGAAATATTTCCCAGGCTGCTCTCGAACCCCCGACCTTAAGTGACCCTCTGGCCTTAGCCTCTCAAAGCGCTGGGATTACAGGTGTGCACCACCGCAGCTGCCTGTCCGCAATACTTAATCAAATACACAAATGTGAACAACGCACAGTAAAAACGGATTCATCAACAACCAGCTCCGGCCTCAGGAACCAGGTGAGATGCTGACTGCATCTGGGAATGCCACTACCCAACAGACTTGGGAAGGGGAGGGACAGAAGCAGCCGGGGGCTGCCAGAAGCTCCCAAAACCTCCCAGGAGATGGCTGGGGGCTGGGGCAGCTCCAAAACCACCCAGGAGGCAGCTGGGAGCTGGGAGAAGCTCCCAAAATCGCCTAGGAGGTGGGCCCTGTCCTCGGTGCTGTCCCCTCCTTGCCACTCCCCACACCCGCTCTGGGAATGCAAAGTGGCCGGCTCAGAGGGAGGAACAGCAGCCATCTCCTGTAGGCACAGGAGACTCCGCTCTGAGAGTCAAGAAGTAAGAAGATGGGTCCGGGCCGGCCGCCACCATGTGTGTACAGAAAGTTCTGGTGGAACACAGCATGTGCATCCCTTGGTACAGTGTCTAAGCCTGCTTCTGGTTAGAATGCAGAGTTGCCACTCCAAGTCCCTCTGTGTTAATGCACTTGAGCCCATCACCAGGAAGTAAGTTCAGCCCTTGCCCCATTTTATAGATGAGGAAGCCGAGGCACAGACAGGTTGGGTGACGTTCTTCGGCTCACACAGCTCCTGGCTTATCAGACCCACCATCAGACAACTTGGGTGGGCCCAGGACCCTCGCTTGGAAACCCCACTTTCAGGTCCTGCCCCGCCTCACTGCGGTGACTACAGCAGTGACAGAGCTGCCCCAAAGAGAGAGGAGGCCGGGGTCACCTGAGTCCAAGGAACAGGAGAGGAGAACGAAAGATCAGCACAGGGGCCGGACACAGGCTGGCGGCCCACGGGACACACAGGCGTGGCCACAGCACCATCACTACAGGGTATACTGGGAAATCAGATTCCTGACTCAGAGAGCAAGACTTTGGGACGCCGAGGTGGGAGAACTGCCTGAACCCAGGAGTTTGAGATTGGACTGGGCAACATGGCAAACCCTCATCTCTAATAATAATAATAATTATTATTATTACTAGACAAGAACTGAAAAAAGTATATGAAGACTTCAAGAGTCTCTTCAAAGAGGACGGGAGTGAATGAAAAGGTAAACCAGGTTCCTGAATGGGAAGATCCAACATGAGAAGGATGTCAATTTCCCCTACATAATGTGTCAACTTAACAAATCCCAATGAAAAAGGGCCAGCCCTGGTGGCTCACGTCTATAATCCCAACACTTTGGGAGGTCGAGGCAGGCGGATCACCTGAAGTCAGGAGTTTGAGACCATCCTGGCCAACATGGTGAATCCCTGTCTCTACTAAAAATACAGAGATTAGCTGGGTGTGATGGCGCACGCCTGCAATCCCAGCTACTCGGGAGGTTGAGGCTTGAGAATTGACCGAACCCAGGAAGCGGGGGTTGCAGTGAGCCAAGATTGCGCCACTGCACTCCAGCCTGGTGGACAGAGCAAGACTCTCTTAAAAAAAAAAAAAAAAGATACTTAGCCTAGAAACTGTGTGGAATACAAAGAAGCATAAGACACAGTCCTGCCCTCTAAGAGTCAGTAATCTAANAAAAGG